CCAAGGCGGTTTACTTTACAGAGTACATAGTTCTCAATTGACGGATGGAGAGCAATGAATGTAGATAATATGTAAGCGTAGCAAGTAGGCTCACTGATGGATAATAAATATTTGGAATCAATTGTTAAGTGAGTCTATAGTGTAAGACTATATCTGCATTATTTGCCAAATTGAAAGTCACTGGCAATTGTTCACGTTAAAAGCCAGTAAAATGACCGTCTTCATTTTACTTCATTTCATCAAGAGGATAAGGCTTGGTTTAATATATTTAAACTAAAATAATATTTAAACTATTTGAAGAAAAGAGAAGATTTTTAATCGTCAATGCATATTTTTTTTTAATGTGATATAAATTATTGTTATTGCATTTATCTGCTGATTTTAAACCGATAATGATATTTTGTAATTAATAGAGTGTATAACTATTTTTATAACATTATTATATACATATGCTTAAATATTTTAATTTGATATTTTAAATATAAGTGTAAAATATCAGTATAGAATTATAAAATAATATATACTTTTTGATAAGGAAGTTAATATTTTGTTCCCTATCAACTATGTACTAAATATGTGAAATATTATAAAAGAAGGGATTAACATACGTATTCAATTTAAATTAGTCTAATCATTTAACTATTTTTTATGATATAAAAATATACCGCATCAACTGCAGCATAATGCGCTTACTGCAGCTCGTAACTTTCTCCTTGCACTTGTCACAGCGGTCACTGTCACTTTTATGTACAACAAGAAAGATCGACTCTGTACTTTAATATTTATTTAAATTTTTTTCCGTTTTGAGATAGCATCTGCATAGTTAATTAGTGTAACAAATTAGTAATGTTTAGCGGTTACTTTATCCCACTTAGTAAGTCATTGAGAATAGTTATCTAACGTTTTTTTTATTGATTCTTGGTCAAATTTTATTATCCAGATTAGCGTATTTCTTGTAATTTCTAAATTGAACTTTATACTCGTGGGATAAGAATGTATTTGTAGGAAGTGACTGTGTGTAGAAGCTATTAAAGTGCAGTTTATAAACGACGAAGCAACGAGGTCAGCGTACCAGCATGCAGGTTTGTTTAACTAGGTGACTACGGCAATTAATTTGTATTTTATAAGAGTTTTGTGAAAACAAATCTCTGATCTTAGGCTTAAATTAAATAAATATAGTTATAGATAAATTATGTAACTTAAATGTAATTGAATAAGTTATTAACAAGGAAACTTTGTTTATGTCTGACTTTTGCTTGCGATTTTATGAATACTGTTTTCAATTGTATGTTATTTCCTGGGAAAGGATTAAATAAACGTATTATATCCTATCAAAATCAAATATAATAACGATAGATTATTTTTGACAATATAATTTCTGATTTGTTGAGAAAGAATGCTTTTTAAGCATTAAGTTTGTTTTTTATATCAAACTTTTTCAATAATATAGTAAATAAAAAACAAATAAATAAATAAATGTTCTGAGTTAGATTTGTAAGTTAATTTGCACTGTAAATACTTCTAGCAGTTTCTGTGTGATTTTAGATCTATTACGGAGCGGTGGACTGTGGTGAGATGGTAAGTGATGTAGACACGGATTGTAGCAGAGTAAAACGTATTAAAAGCGACCAAGTAAGCAAGAAAGAAGACAAAGTCAAAAAATACAAAATTGAAATTACAAATAAAAACATTCTTCATTTATAAAAATGTATATAATAAAATGTTAAGAGTTTGCATCGGCCAGTCGCCAATAAGATCATTGAAACATTTTTACAAGTATTCGCTTGTGTATATTATTTAAAGGTTAGTATTGCATATTTATTTGTTGATGTTATATAAATTGCACTATAGTTATATATCCTCACTCCCTGTACTGCAGTTTATCGATCTACATTGATGCGAGATAGTGTCAACCAAAGAATAATGAAGTATGTAGTACTTGTAGGTTATTTATTAATTTCCACATAAAGTTTAGTATAAACAAATACAATGTATAATATATAATATTTGTTTATACGTGAACAGAGAATAGAAATCATCGACCGTGAATTTTAAGCCATGAATAGTTTAAAGGTATTCCATTGAGACATTCAAGGTAGACTACAGTTACAATTTATTAATAAACATATTTGAAAACAAGTGAACACAACAAAGTCATAAAGAACTCTAGTATTATATTATTATTTGATAGATTATTCCGGTTATAATTATAATTTCTTCAAGTATTACTACATGAGTAAGATATCTTATTTATTTAATAAATAAGGTCGCCAGGTCGACCTTTTTGAGATTCTTTCGGCAAAGATGCAGATATGATCACACAAAATGTAACCTGAAAATATGCTGAAATAACATGTGTCGAGATTAATTTTTTTAATATAAATCAAGTTTAGACCAAAAAAGGTATAAGTAGTACCTATCTGCTATATAGATAGGTACTACTTATGCATGTAAAATCATGATCTTCAAGAATTGAGAGTATCAAAATATTCCATAAAATGAAAAGTTATTACACAATATATGTGTAATGGATAATAAAATCACATTAAAACTAATGGCTTTATAAGTCTGTGATAGATTCATCATTTACAAATTGTGAAACAAAATTACAGTGTATTATTGGCAGGACGCAAATTATGACACACGTACGAATGTACATTTGTAACGAACATTAACTAAGCTTCAATCATATGGTAATACTCGTATCTAAGTGTAGTTCTGTACTTACTTTCTCTGCACGATTTGGCAATTTTGCATAATAATTACTATTGCGCTCAGGCGCATTTTGTTAACAGGATACTCGCAGTAGTAATTACTTACGCGATACATCAGTGGATTAGATAAGTGTTGTAAACATATAAATGCGTGGTGTTGTGATGTACTAGCTATATCACACGGCATATTATAAATTCATTGCATAATGGAAACAAATCATTTGTATGTATTAATTTACAGATTATTTTTCCATGAATCAATAACATCTAAAATAAAAATAATTAATGATTTATTCATTATTTATTTTAGAATAGTGCTACTTCTAATATTATTAGTAGTATTTGTAAGCTATTTTTCTAAAATAATATTTTAAGTATTCATTAGATGTTTTTTAATATGGTTAATATTGAAATTATGTATCCGCTACTATTAATGGTGTATAATATATAGTGGAGGATAAAATGATGTAAATGAAATTTGGTCAGTTGGTCAGTCATGATAAACTCATTAGAAACTTCACGATGATCTCCAGAAGAAATCACGTGGAGGTCGACTCGACAGGGTATATTGCTAGCAATGAGTACTAACATCTTCATTGTTAATAATTCTTTACTCCAACTAGATGGGGTGGGATAGACTAGAAAAGAAAGGAGAAAATAAAAGAATTTTATGATGTTAACATTATGAAAAATACGACCGAATTCAGAACCTTTTTCTGTTAGAAGTCGATTTAGAATACTAATATATAACGATAGGTAGCATTTAGAATAAACAACAACAATAAGTAGGATATATAGCTGGTATTTTACACATTTTGCTAGGGAGTGACTTGCAAATGAATAATTAAAAGCTAATGACTAAAATCTACATTAGGTTAGAAACACAAAGGTTCCTAATTGGTTAAAATGTATAAGACCTGATCTGATTGTAAATACTAGCAACAGTATATGCGTAAGGAGTAGAAAAGTGCTGCATAAACTTTCTGCGGCAATATAAAATGTAAAACAAAGTTAACGAGTGTGATCATAAGTAATGATCGTAGCCCTTTCCAAGTTTAACGTTTAATTTAGTGTTAGTTTATCATATATAATATATAGTAGTTAACTAAACATAGTGTCGCTTTCGAGTCGCCTGTCATTTGACGAACTATAAAATCCGAGAGGCAATAAATAAGAGATAGAAAGTAAAGGTTTCACACGGTTTTATCAAACCTGGACCTGGTGAAATTTGGAATGGATGTATAGGCGAGCCCGATGAGAACAAAAACGTGTAGTAGTAAGATAGTTGTTCGAGAGACGTGTTTAATAATGGGGTCACACGAGGAGAAAGCTCCTTGTGCTTCATTGCACTGAGTTAACAACGACTGTACGTTTTAAAATAATTCTAAAGTTCTCACATTCATTAACTGTAATGCATTATAAATAACAAATTAGTAATTTGCTATTGCAAATACACGTAGAGCCTGTGGACTTACTAAATTCTTATTAATAATTTTTAATACATTTGAACTTTTAGTATGTAATAAACAAAAATTTAAAAGGTCAAATATTTTTTATTTATACATTTGTATGTATTTTAAATTATTACTTTGCATAATCATTGGTATTAAAATAAAAAGCATAAATAGGTCAGAAGGTAATAATAGGATTATGTCAGTAATATTAGGATTACGTAGTATAACGACAGAATATTTTTTAGCAATATTCACCGGTATCTAATGAATATAGCTTTTCACTAAGACCAATGAAATTAATTGATATCAAATTTTTATAATATCAATTTGTTGGAATTAATACGGTTTGTTTGAAGCATTTGATTATTATAATTTGAGATTTGACAACGATGGGAATATCAGAGATATATATTTATTTAGTAATACTATTTATATATTTTGTTCTTTTAGAAAATATACATAAAATTTCTCCCTTTCACACCTACAATTTCTTATGGTTTATGGGAGTGTAAGATTGCTTTTACATTATTGATTTATTGCCGTTAATACTTGTCACCCATGTTGTTTATATAATACGTATAATATAAGCATTACACTTTCTAAAAAGGTATTAGATAATACATATATTTAACTAATTAATCGGATGGCTATCGTAACAGATGGTTGACATTGAAATAATGATACGCGTTATGATTCACTGTTTCAAAATTCTGACATTCAGTTATATGTAAAAATAGTAATCTTACAGATTAATTAGTAAAGGATATTATTTTCGCTATAAACTATTGATTTATTTATTAATAGATGAATATTATATAATTAGATTAATTACCTTTCTTGTTCAGAATATTCAATTTTCTTAAGTTGAACTGATCTGAAAAAATAAAAAAATATATTTAATTATATATACAGGCATAATTTCTTAGTTTTCATGAATGGTAATGCATAAGGAGACTTATGGGCGTCAAAATATATTAATTTTATGTCCATGATACTGATTATGTATCACAGTTACCACTTTCCATCAGGTGAGCTGTCAGTTTGCTTATCATTCCGATTTATGAATCCGAATAAATATATTATTTAAAATGTGTACCAAATAATGAAATTAGCTTTTAATTTAAACCTATATTTATATTTTATAACTATTGAAATAAAATAGGACTTAATATAATTTTATATCGCTGATAATATTTTATTGAAAGAAATCTTTTAAATATCATCGCATACTTAAAAGTGTCTTACATAAATATGAGATAGGTGATTTCTATATTAAAAGCAATAAGTTTATTAGGCCTGCCACACTATTATATAACTACTACTAAGCCAGGGTTATTGACATTAGTTGTGAATCATTAGGACTGGTTTCGGGTGTCTGAAAAGTTAGTGAATCTATTATATTAGTGAAAGTAGGAGTAATAACATTGTGCGTAGCAACTTGATTATAATATACACATTGATTGTGCAATAAGGAGCTTGATATGAAAATTCTATGATTTATAATTATAAATGATGTTGTTAAATATCGTGGGAAAGTCCTCTTATCCATTTACATATTATAATAATTTGATATATAATGAGCTGAATTGGTGTGGCATATTTTGCATATGTGGTGTAAACAATAGTTGGTTTGATTCTTGATAGTATAGTTATGTACATATGTTTTTAAAAATATTTAAAGTATATGACAGTACTACTCGTATCTAAAAGGTGTCCTTAATACAAATTTTGTTTAGCTTAGCATTAAATAACATTGAATAGATTACAGACATATCTTTATTAAAATGTGATAACTACAGAAATAAATTTAGCAGAAAAGCATATGTTGAGGCAAGCAATAATCATTTTAATAACTTATAAAAAATATAAAAAAGCATAAGAAATAATGAAAATATTGATAAATGTGTATGTAGTCATTAGAATGTTTGTAACTCGATTAAGTTTTAAAAAAAAATATGTATAACTAATATGACGTGAGTTCGACAAACAATTGTGCCAGTAAAGATTTTTCTATAAAACAGTAGTAAATAACCACAGTTCTAATGCACGCTTGGTCGACAAACTGAAGGTCGACAAAACTCTAGAACACTAGTACGAGTACAATCATAAACATTCAGTAATTACGTGTTTGTCTTTAAGACCATAGCACGGATTAACTCATGGCGTTCTTTTAACTTTACTTGACCACAATTGCTACTTGCAGGTGACAACTACAGTCCAATAAGTATTTCATGTACTCTTTTGGTCATGTTCACTTGTCGTTTAATGAATAATTTATCAAACCAATGATGCACCTAGTATGCAAACGAAGGATCGAATCGTACAATAATTTTCAGCACGAAAAATTTATAAATTTTCTGTATACATACTATTCGTATTTTACTTTTACTTTTTTTATAAGAACGTTTCATGAATAATGTATTATAAGTTATCACGTAATGCACATTATTCTTGTAATAACAAGTATAGTATTAATAAAGGAAGTAATATGTCAAAACAAAACGCGTAATGCACATACATAAATACACGATACAAAGAATTATGGAAAAGTTTCTAGATAATAATAGAAAAATTGCAGTAAGGAAGATCAAATTTATTAATTACTAGCTATGTGAGACTTCATCCGCCTGACTGGAATATACTATTATTGATTGACGGGGCTAAAAAGCAGTTTATGTCTTTCTTCATATCGAGTATTATATGTTTGCTTAATTTTATTACTATTATAGGTTGCTCCAAGAAGCAAAAAATTATTATTATAATATATATTATTATTAAAAAAATATCACAATTGACAAAGCCTCAACTCGGAGAGGCTTTCAATTAGACGATATTTTATTTTATTCTGCGATATTTTTACCAATTGTGAATTGATTTAAATAATTCAGTTTGTAATAAATAGGGATTTATCCCCGTAATGATTCATTTTTATTTTGTCACGATTAATGTGAATTAACTTTTTTTAAGAAAGAAAATCTTTATACAATTACTGATATTATATGAGATATTTCTATATTTCGCATTTTGCTATATCGTCTTCTAAAAAGGGGGAAAAATATATGATGTAGATGACTTCTGTTATTTATAATTATCGTATTTTGGAGCTAGAACTTTCTGAAATGTATTTAGATACTACGAAAAGTATTTTTGTCTTTCAAAGCACGCAAAGAATAGATAGTTGAGGTGCAAGGTTGGTAGGTGTTTCAGGTATTTGTATATTCGTTATTATATATTTAAAATTTTATATATCAGGGTGTAACAGTAAATGAAGATTAAAGGTTTAGATGTTAGCTGCGTTATTACTTGATCAATGTTATTTCTATTCAATTTGAATTTTTATTATAAAAAAATCTTTGCAGTTTTTGAATTCGATTTAATTAATTTCACGTCACAGCAGGTTCGATTGCTCATTGTTGGTCTGCTTAATATTATCTATACCTACTTTGATTGTGAACTGCACTCACGTATCTTATTGATATCTTATTGCATTTTGTGAAAGTACTCCAATATATGAATGAATAATATTTTTTTTATTTCATTTTAATTAAAAGTTGAAAATATGCGTTTGAATACTTTTAATTCATTTGTGCAATTTTTATCATTAATTAAATTTTTATTAATAAAAATATTAAAATAATGGATATAACTTATTGTATATTTACAATAAAGTTTTAAGGAAATGGAAATATAAAAACAAACAATAAACGCAATAATATTATTAATAAAAAAATGTGGGTCTCGTTGTAAAATGTGTTTAACAATAAAGTTAATATGTGAATACGATTAAACGGGTTAAAGCATAAAAGAAATAAACTTTAAATTATTATTAATATTAATTGTTTTTCTTTTTTTTAAGTGCATCTATGAATCGTATTTTTATTTACCTTTATTTGATTATTATGTGATACCAGTTTTTCCGCTATTTCGTTTATTACTGAAATTTGTGAAATAACTATAATAAAGAGAAGCTTATGTTCTTTTTCATCTTACGTAATTCTAATACTACATCATTCGGTGCTTAGATATAACAAATAAACAAATGTACATTGACGTTTATAGAATATTGAGTAGGATATACAATATTAAATGTAGCCAGTGGTTTTACCCATTTATATATTAGGTATCAGGATAAAAATAATATTTATAAATATTTCACATATTAATTAAGGCATCCATTTGTGTTTTAAAATTCATTCAAATCAATTCAATCGTTGAAGCGTTATTAAGCAACACACATTCATACTTCTCAATAGCTGAAAATGTTGAAAACTTTTACATTTATAATTAATTTAGATATTAGGAATAGATAGTGAATAGTGAAACTAGTATAAGTAGTATAAAATTTTAGTTTTCAGGACACGAAGGGTATTGTTAGCTCTACATATTCTGTGTGCCATGCCTATGACACATATGACTTTATTATTGAGTAGATAAACATTGGGTTATTTACTACTTACCATTATGTGGGCTGTCAACTTAATTGACATGCTTAAAATTTTAAAGAAAAAAAAACTTATCAGTTTAAAGTTCAAACAGATTTAAAGAATACCTACGTGGTTTATATTAAATTTCAAGATAATTGGTTAAGCCGTTAAGGTGTTAAGAGGTAATAAATAAGCAAACAAGTTCACTTCCACATATGTAGGTAATATTGGTAAAGGATGTAGTTGATTTAAATGTGTGCAATAATTATTCACTGTATATTACTATTATCGTTCATGAAATATATAATTTATAATTCCTTCGTTTAGCAGTATGTTTTGAGTTTAATGTTAACATTTTTATATATGAAATGAAACTAATGATGTTAGTATATTTTAAATATATTAATAGTTACGAGTATAAATGGCAACTAAATAACTAACTAATTAAAAAACTAACTATTAACTAAAAATCTCGCGAGATAACTAGTAGAAGAAATAGGGAGTTGCACAAAAAATAGTTTTTGCTAAAATACATAACACAAAATATGTTATATTTGCGATTGCGATTGATACAGTTATATTATGTAAACATATTTTATACATGTATTATAATGTGTATAAAGATTGATATACTCTATATTATAGTACATAATAATGTTTAGTGGAAACGTGGTGTTACAATGTATGATTGCGTGGTATTGAAATACAGAATGTAGGTCGTATTGATGAGTAGCCATATCAAAAATTGGTCAATGTGAATGTATCTCAGTATAGATTATAATATCTTGTCCTTGTAGCATTGTGTGAAACTATATGTACAGGTATCACGCAGTTCCATTCAATGTTTTCTGAATATTTTTATGATCTTTACGAGGTTATGATGTGGAATCATAAGTTTTATGTATGTGTACATATATAAAATTTAACCTTAAAAGAGAGACAATTATCTTTCCGGTGACATTTTATAATTTCTCTTCAATGATAAAGTATAATAAGTTCCGTATAATAAATTCTTAGTTTCCAATAAAAGAATCATCCATTGGAAGTTTATTATATGCATGAACTCACCGAAGATAAAAATATAAACGGGTGTATTAAAATTTCTTCAGAGTCGGTATCAAGCACGTGACATCTCTGATGCTGCAGCGTACATGGACTACATTGACTGTTAACCATTTGACGAGCCGAATGCTTGTTTGCTACCTTTGTGGTGCATAAAAAAGCATGATGTTATGCGTATGAGTATGATACAGTATATCAATAATCTGAAACTTTTTTATATGCTGAAAGTTTACCTGTAGTATGCATCTATCAAAAATGTTTTAATTACCTAAATTAAGAACGGGAGATATGCATGCATTTATGAATCGTTCTGCCTGCCTCTAATATGAGATTGTATTAGAATAATTAATGGTTAGTGGAAATTCAACTGTAACGCGATAATTTAGGA